CGGGAGGGACGGGCAGCCGGGCCGTGTGGGCCCCCGGTGCTCCCCTGGGCGCTGCCGGGACGCGCTGCTCCGCTGCCGGGGCACAGCGCTCCGGCTGCGCCTTCCTGCCGCTCCTGGGCAGGTATCGAGGTTGGCTGTGTAGAGATGAAGGTATTGCCTTTAGCAGGTCTTCCCCGTTTAGAGGCAGCTCTCTAAATTCCAGAATCGTTTTGTGCTACTAAACCGAAGAAGTTTCCTCTCCTGATTATTTATTTTTGAACAAGCGATCGCTTCTGTACCAAAGCAGCAGGCGCTGCTGAAGGATTGGTGTTATCAGGGTTCAACACCCGCTGTGAGTTTCTCACATTCAGTGAGGACGGTAAATTACAAGTCAGACTTCATCCGCAGGAGGGGTTTCTTTGAGGCTGCCCTCACAGTTGGTTATTTTGCCGTGGGGAGTGCAACTCAGGAATTTTCTTTTTTATTTTAGTTTTTGCCTGTTTAAGAAAAATCGTGGCTCCCAAGGGAGAAAAATTATGAGTAGTTGGAGGACTCTGCCTGGTGGTAGAAGACCCAGAAGTATGTGAGGAAATTTTACTTCCTGATGCAATCAACAGCTGTGGTGCTTTCAGTAGAGCTTGAACACAAAAGAAAAAATAATCTGTACCCCTCAGAGAACATGGAAAAGTGTTTCAGTAAGGTGCCTGAAAAGTGAATTTTCAAGTATCCTAAAGTTGGTTCCTTTTGGATTCATTGAAAGTGGATGCTAGCAATAATTACATCTCTGTGCTACATGGGACAGAACAGGATGATTGTGTTAGCATGTAGTGGCTGATTTTCAGGCATTTGGAAATTAATGCAGAATTAATTTAACTTTCTAAGCATGGAAAACAGTCTTTCCCAAGAGTTTGCAAGTAGCATTGAGTAAAGGGGCAGTTAAAAATGTGGCTAATTTTCTACAAAGTAAGGTTTCCTTACAGTGTGAGGTATGGACTGAAATTTGTATGTGGTACAGCTGAAGTGTTCTGCTCTCTCTACATCCCTAAATGTGGTAGATGGGACAGCTGGGGTTGCCCTTCCTGAGCGCTGAAGGCTTGCTCTCTTTCCTGGGTATGATGCTTCCTCAAAGATGAGCCACACTCTTTCCTATCCCAGGGAATGATTTGAAAAGAAGCCAGAGGATCTGAGGGGCAGATGTACTCAAACTACAAAGATGGAGATGAAACAATGGCAAATGATGATGTGTCACATTTTAAACAAATTTTGTCAGGGAACATGTTATGCATTTAAAATAAATTGTGGTTTTCCTGTCATGTGTGATAGATCATGTATGTTTTTCTCTTTATCCTAGTTTATTCACTTTGTGTACAGCTATTCTTAATAAGGCAGTTCTCTGCCGTGTGTGGTGAATTTGAATCCACAGAGGAGCAGAACACACGGGAGGGGCTTTGAATATTATCAGATGTTTTCAATGATGCAGAATTAGGAAGGTCTGCAGGGAAAATTTCTCTGACAACTTAAACAATGCTTGGGCTCCTCAAACAAGTGTGAAGGGCCTGAACACTGCCAGTCCTGTGTTCCCAGAGGGCCTGAGCAGATACTGCGATTGCAGAGCAAAGCTCTGACTCGAAGGTGTGCTGCTCATTGCTGTGCTTTGGTCTTGTTCACAGGACCAAATCAAGCCAGCATGCCCAGGCTCTAGTTTTGCAAAGGCAAAACATTCTCTGTAGCTACACAGCCACCTTTCCTGTCCTGTAAATCCTGAGCAATGCCCACTGGACAGGCAGGACTCCCCTGGAGAGAAGAGTATGCTGGGTGTCCAAGGGAGATGCTGTGACATGCCAGTGCCATGGCTTATCAGTGGCATTCATTATCTCCATTTGTGTTTGCTGCTGCTAAGTTTTATAGGAACTTGTGGTGTTTTAATAAGAATTCATGTAACTGTATGAAAATAGAGGCATTTGGTGTTGAAGGATATAGCCCTTAATTTAATTTTGAGCAGTCTGGGTTGCACGTATTTAGTTCTTCTTTCCTAGAAGGGCAGAAAGGGATCACCAAAATTGTACCTCCCGTTTTTCTTATAGTTAGGATTGCCTTTTACCCAACAGTCTAGGCAAAACTGTACTGATAGTGATTTCTTGCTGAAATATCGTTAGCCTCATCCTGTTAGACTTTTGTGTTGTAGTCTTATTCCCTGTGGTCTTTTGAAGGCTTTTTAATAATTCATTTCTGCAGTTGTATTACAGTTCATTATTATTGCAGCATAATTCCCCTCTCCAGTGACTAAACAAGTATTTAACAAGCATGTGGAAGAAGTTCAGTTTCTCTGCTTTGATAATACAGTGCTTCAGCATTATTTTCCATCTTACTTACGCTGATGGTCTACTTTTCTTTAACCTCTGTAAATAACCTGCTGTAATGTGAAGTAAAAAACTTCCTTGCATAGTTTTAAATCCAAAACCATAAGTATTTGTCTTGCGTGGAGTTCAGCAGTTAGGCCAGAACAAATAAGGTTCAAAGACATCAGGCAACAGCACAGTGACAGTAAATGAGTAAGTTTTCTTTTTAGGAATTTAATTTGATTATTTAATGTGTTGCTCTGGAAACTGTAGAATTGGGGGCCTGGTCTTGCAGCATTCTATGTTAGTCTGACTTTGCTAGCACAGTATGGGATGTGGGACTTCCCAGAAGTCTCACAATTTAACATCTGCAGATAAGCTGTATTTTTGAGTGTTTCTCATCTCTTCCTCCTGTCTTTTTTTTTTTTTTTCCTGCTTCACTGTGGAGTGTGAGTAGAGGGAACCATGGTTTAGCTTCAGTTGCTGAATTATCAGACATCTCACATATTTTGTGCTGTCCACAGGCTGTGCAAACTGCAGGCATGAAGGTGTGCACTGAGTGTCAATGTCTCAGTCCCCTTATGTGGACAAGGGCAGATGTCTCTCAGAACCTGTGGTAGGCATTAGTGTCCATGTTGTCAAGACCTGGCTTTGTGAAGGCCCAAAACCCCACATCTGTGGCTTGTCCTGCAAAGGCTCCAAATCACTGCAGGCTGGTGGGAAGGCTTCTGTACAAAGAAATCTGTTGTGTGAGTGAATAAGCTTGCTTCTGAAGTAAAGGTGCTTCTGACACTAGGGCAGATTTCTGATGTAGTTGTGTATATGCTGGGAGGCCGGGGGTTTTGTGTGTTTTGTTTTGCTTTCATTTCAATTGGAAGGGTTTCAGTGCACGTGTCTCAGGGGTCCGTGGCCTGAGGAAACTCAAGCAGCCACATCTTAAACTAATGAGGACAGCTGAGATGTGTTCCTTCCAGAAGGGGATGAATCTAGACAGCTGCCTGCTTAGGCAGGATTTTTCCTCTGTGACTTTGAAGGAACAGGCAGTGGAGGGAGAAGTGCTTCTAAAAGGATTGCCTAACCAGACCTAGCCTGGAAGCAGCTGGAACAGCCTAATTGCTTTGTTAAGCAGCTTAGTTAATGAATGAAGTGTAGTCACTTCATGTGTAAGTGGCTGGGATTTTGGGTATGAAAAGCAACTCTGCGTAAAGAAGAACTGGATTAATGTGTGTCATCATAACTTCTTTTTAATTAAAAATACTCAGACTGTCATTTCTTGGGTAGAATTCATCAGATCTGGCCTAGGGCATGAGTTCTTATGGATTGTGTTTTACATGGATTTGTGTTGTTTGCATGGGGTTTTTGCATTTCACAGTAACTTAAAATAAATAAAACTTGGTACAGGTGGTGTTTCTTTTGTATCTTCTTCTTATGTATTCTTCTCCTGTTGTAGCAGGGGACAATGTCAGTAATGCTCTCTTCCTCTGCTAGATTCTGACAAGTGGTAAGATTTCCAATCCTACCCTGCTCGGAACTCCTGATACAAAAGAGCACGATTACTTCAGTCTCTTCAAATCCTTCTTTGAAATTTGGAAACTGCAGCTGCAACAGCTGCCAAAGCTGATGCTACTGAGATGCTGTTACTAAAAATAATCAAGCCAATTTGTGTTCTCTTCACCTTTGTATGTTTGCAAGGCTCTGTGTCCAATTTCAGGTGGCCAGTTTTTTCAATGTGTGAAGATCACACTCCTTGATAAGAGTGTCATGTGCTGGAGACCTAGGACATGGATGGTTCCCAGCCCTTGTGGGACTGGGAAGGGGGGATGTGTGTGACAGTCAGTCTTTTATATGAGTGGTGACAAAATGTTTGAAAAGACGAATGTTTAGCTTCTAAACTGAGTGTTACAATGGGAGACTAGAAAGCCCAGATGAGGAATGTATTCCATGGTAGTCTGTGCACTGCCTCCCTTTGTGTCAATCGGATGTTGGGGTGAATTGCTCTCACTTTTGACTTTTCCTTTAAATTATGTGAGATCTGAACAGACTCCCTCATTCTAGTTTTGTTTCTTTTTTTTTTTTTTCCTTTCTCTCAGAGCAATTTTTGAAGACAGTGCCAGATTACCATGTGGTTCATCCAGCAAGAGTAGATGCAAGTGGGCATTTTCTTTCTTTTAATCTACACCATCACATCTCAAGCCCAAGGAAGAAGAGACATCTTGGAAAAAGTGAAAATGTGGTATATTACAAAATTAATCATGAGGAGAAGGATCTGTTTTTTAACTTGACTGTCCACATGGGATTTCTTTCCCATAACTACATAGTAGAAAGGAGACGTGGAAACCACACCAGAGCGAAGATTTCAACTCGCTCGGGAGTTCCTTGCCACTTCCTTGGCACAGTGTGGCAGCCTGGCTCTGGCAGTGGGACAGCAGCAATCAGCACTTGCAGTGGCCTGGTAAGTGGTGTGGCTTTTACTGGGGTTATGGGCTATTTCTGGTGTCATTAGAACTGAGCTGGTACAAATATGTCTGCTAAGAAACTGGATGACCCAGTCTGATACCTGACTCAGAAAAAATAGTTTAATTCTATGGGTGTTGTTTGGATTTTTTTGAAGACTCAGGAAGTCAAAAGGTAATGCTGAGGCCCAAAAGGCTTGGCATTTACTTTTGGCTAGGTTTTTTTGGTTTTTTTTGTTATCTGGAATGAAGGTTTTATCAGTCATACAGCTTGAAGCCAGCCAAATATCGAGTCATTGCTTTGATTCCATTAGTAGTTGGATTGCCTTTCCAATGCATCTGGAGCTTCTGTTCTGTTTTCCTCTAAAAGGAATGTAGCTCAAGTACACTGAAATTGCTCTGTGAATCAAAGCCATGGATAGTTAGCTAGGGAAACGCAATTGTTTCCTTATGAACTGCGCTGCAGCTTCAGATATGAGTGATAGGTTAGATGCAACCTTAGCCAGAGCTTTGAATTCAAGTGTTAACCAGTGCTAGGCATCCCTCATGTCAAAGAGCACTCCTAAGGCTGGAGCTTGAAGTTGAACATTTCTCAGTATCCTGTAGTTCACACTGAGGCAAGGAGATGGAAGCCTTTTTTTCCCCATGCTTTGATGTTTTTAATCATGGCCATGGCTTAGTGTGAGGTGCCTCAGGGAGGCAAAGCTTTAGTTTCAGCTAAGCATTGTTAAAGTGAGAGGCGTGGCTGTAAAGCCTGGCTAGTGTGAATTCTGAACTTCTGCTTTGGGGCCTGGGCCCTGTGAGCCCTGGAAGAGTTGCCGCACCCCAGACCCCTCGTGGGGTGGCAGCCCAGGAGTTCTGGTTGGGTTTGAGCCCCTGGGGTTTCTCCCTTGCTGTGTTCCTGGTGGTTCCTGACCCTGAACTCTACCCTGGTTCTGTCCCTCAAAACCCATCATCCTGCTCTCTGTCTCTGGACCTGAGTTTGTTCCCATGCTGAATAAATGATTTCATGAACAGAAGCCTGTCTCACTGGTGTCCCATGCTGGTTCTTGTAGCTTCTCTGGGCACAACAGCTTAGGTTCCTGTTTGTGCTAGAGCATGAGGCTGGGTGTGCCTTTCTGGAGAGGAAGAAGAAACAAACTGTCTAAGTGTGAAGGGGATGTAGGGAGGTGTGAAAACAGGCACATGTGATTCTTGAAAGGCAGAACCCAAAGTGTTTGTGGAGTGTGCAGGCAGAGGTGATGATGAAATAATGTTCTCATGCCTTGATCCTGGAGTGGCAAATGACGGTGTTTGAGAGCCTATGAAGCAAGGGACTGATGCCTTTCCCTTGTGATCAGTATCAAAGTGTGTTCCATGCTGTATGAAGCTTTCAAAAACTATGGAAAGTCTTCTGGCAGTGTGTGAGAAGCAACATGAAGACAGCACTGGTATATATAAAATAGGAAACTCTGGAGTTTACAAAAGTGCTGATAAAACATTTGGCATGTTGCCTGGAGAAACAAGCCATTGCTTGAGGCCAGAAATTTCAGTCCCACAGGTATGACGATCAGGGATTTTATTTTCTAAGTTACATTTCCAGTGGGGACCAACTTATCAAAATTTCCCTGAAACATGTTTTGGTCATACAGGGTCAGTAAGTAAATGGAGATATAATGATACAAGTAGTTTCCTTAGTTGTTTTGTTCTGTGCTTTATTAGAATGTCTTTATTATTTTTCATTAGGATGAGAATTTGAAAATGAGGTGCTAGATATTCATTATGTCTTTGGAAGTATTTAGTCTGCAACAAGAACTAAAAAAACTTCAATTTGCATTTTAAATCCAGCTTAGTAATATCCTTTAAAGTTATCCTTTCATTTGTGTTACAAACTTTTTGATTGTCCCAGCCCCAGGGGTCACTCAGCTAGCTCCTTGTGTACTGGGGGGAGGAGGTACAACAATGGACAAAGGTAAAAGACAAAGGAGGCTCTTTATTACGGGACACCATCCCAGTTTATTCTTGGAACAAACTCCAGGGTAAAAACAGACTGAGGGAGGAACCGCGGGGACTTTTGAACTGGGGGAAAGCAGGCTACAGCCAATGGGGTGAAACTGAAGAGGAGAGGCAAGGGGAAGGATCCAACACACCACAGACTCAGGGCAGCAGGGAGAAACCACTTTAGTGCAAACATAACAACTAGCTTAGTGCAACACCACATCTCCCCCTTGTTTTAATTATATAAAGTTAAAAGAAGGGTCTTATTCTGATGCAGAACATGAATTTGACCACCACTCATGATTGGTGGGCCCATTAGATTGTTCTTGATCCATTAGTTCTATGTGGTTGACCTCTGAGGTGGCAGGGATTAAATTGCCAAGGGCTTTTAAAATCAAGCAGCGTATAATCCCGAACGCCAACACTATTAGGAACAAAACAACAAAAAACAACAGGATTGTTTTAACTATTGAAGTCCATCACCCTGTGAGTCCCCAGCCTTTGAACAATTCACTAAACCAGTCCTTGGATTCTTGCTTCACTTGTCCAGTCAAACTCTTCATCTCTTGGAGGACTGAGTGGACATTAGGAGCTTTTGCGGTTAGGTTTAAGCAACAAAATCCTTCAAATTCCTGGCATTTGTGCCCATGCAGCAGCAGGAGGAAGTCTATGGCAGCTTGGTTTTGAAGAGTGGCTTGCCTGGTGATTTTCTTGTCTTCTAGGAGGGGGCTGAGGGTGTTGGATGTTAAGTTTGCCTGTCTGACTACCCAGCTCTCTAGGTGTCCTAACTCACCTAGAGCTTTGGCAGCTGCGACCCATGGAAGAAATATGGATGCAGCAATTCTTTTTTGATTTGTCCTGATGACAAATTTCAGAATCACAGTTTGGATCCAAACCGTCAGTGTTTCTTTTATGAACTTTGTTGGTCAAATTGTTTTTCTGAACCCAATTGGTAATTTGGGTTTGGTTGGGTGCTAACAGGGACAACCGCCCTACGGTACATGGCCCTCCTAAAAGCTGAGATGGATTCCTGCCCATGTCCTATCTCTGCAAATTAGGAACAAGCCCTTAGAGAGATTTTTTTGGATGTAAATGGAATGGTTTGCCTGCTGTAACATGACTTAGAATATCATACCATTTTTTGCAGTGAATTCTTCTCAAAATTTTAATATGTTGTTAAAAGCTCTAGTGTCAGATAATGAGTTGTAAGTAAAGTGAATACAGTAAGGTGCCAGGGAGGAATCCAATAGTTCTAATTCCTGGGGTTCCTTATCTGCTTTTGGCAGTTTTGATAGCCACTCTTTAACAGGGTTCCTAATCATTACAGCCCACCAGGTACGATTTTCACATAGTCGGATGCTGTGTGATTTGGGACCTGTGTTAGGCATAGGAGTGTCAAAGCTGGCTGGAAATTCTCCAGCCTGCAGTGGAATCCCTACCAGGCAGGTGGACATAGGGTCCTTTGCTGCTGCAGTGGACAGGCATATGTTTTCTTGCTGGAGTATCTGTGCCAGGGTCACCCAGATGTTCTGTCATGGCTGAGGGACGATCCATGCAGCTGTCAGACTGCTCAGCGTGAACAGGATACCAACTGGGATAGGGCTCATCACGAGGTTGAGTGGGAGGTAGGTTCTCTCTAAATGGAAAAACCAAATGTTTTTAAAGGATGTTAACATTTAGAGTGTGTCTGCCGGTGAGTAACCGGGTGTCAGGAAGGTTTCCTCTCCTTTTTTCCGTCAGCGTCTTCTTTTGGAAGGGACTGCTGCTTGTTTTTCATCCCTTTCTGCTGGAGCTGGGTTTTTGGGAACGAAAGGCTTTACCCACTTTTGGGGTATCCAGTGTGGGCCCGCAGGGGTGGACACACACACATAGCCACACCCCCAGGTAACAAGTTCATAGGGCCCCTTGGTCTGCCAGGTTTCTGGGTCCCTGATTAAGACCGGTGGACACTGTGTCAACTTAAATTGATCACCACTGTTAAAATGCTGAACCACTGGGGGACTCGTGTTATCAAATGAACAGTTCAGGAAAAATTCTAGCAACTCCTTTATACACTGGGCCATTGACAGTCTTAATTTCCCTAGGGATCCCCAGCACTGAAAAGGCCTGCACCAGGCCTTGTGGCGTGCACAACCTTTTCCCTGTGTGGGCTGAGGCATAAACCGCACCTGAGTATGTGTCAATGCTCACATGCACATATTTAAGGCAGCCAAAACTGGGAATGTGTGTGATGTCTGTCTGCCACACTTTGCAGCTCCAAAGGCCTTGGGGGTTAACCCCGATACCCAGCGATGGCATGGCCTGGAGCTGGGACAGGTGGCCACAATGGCTTGAGCCTGACTCCGTGTTAGCTGGAACTGATGGATCAGTCCTGGCACAATCTGATTTGTGGTATTGCTGGTGGCTCAGCTTAGCCTGCTGGAAGACTTTTGGAAGACGTACCCATTCAGCTGGGGCGTCAAGGGAATCAGCTTTGCAGTTCCCTTCTGTGATTTTGTCTGGAAAATCAGTATGTGACCTCACATGCATCATATAGAAGGGATGCTCTCAAGTTGAAACTAAATAAATTCGTTTTGAAAGCAACCAAAAGGGATGTTCTTTCTCAATATCTTTGAGAACTGCCTGCTCTGCCCTGGACACTAGCCCCACCACATAGGCTGAGTTGGTGACCGAATTGATTTGCTCTGAGAACTTCTCAAAGGCTCTCATGGCTGCAGGCAGTTCGGCTACCTGGGGTGACCTCCCCACAAACTCAACATCAGCTTCCCAGGGCTGAGTCTGAGGATCTCTCCAAGTCATCACCGACTTGTGGGACTCCCCAGTTGCATCAGTGAACACTGTAAGAACTTTGAGTGGCCTACACCTCCTTTTCTCACGAGGAATGAGGTGGAATTCCTCATGAAACAACTTGTGTGATGAGGTGTGGACTGATATTTGTCCACTGTAGCTGTCCAGAGCTAACTGGAGGTTAGCACTGCTCTGCAGCAGATGCTCAAACATCTTTGTCAGCTTCTCAGAAGAG